TTTTAAAATTTATTAAACTAAATTAGTACCATAAATTTAAAAATCTAGACCATTTAACAATACTAAGAATTTCAATGTCTTTATCATACTTTTATTGAAAATATATATTCCCTTAAAGTTACCTACAATTTTCTTGATATATTTTATAATATTGGAACAGAATTTTTATTTGAATTTTGAATTATTTTGAAGAAAATAATATAACATATAATTAAGCAGCCGTGGCGCACTTGCCTCAAAAACGTAAGATCCGAGGTTCAAACCCCACCTCTGGGCAAGTTTTGCAACATCGGTTGGGAAGGAGGCGTAAACTTCCCATTAAATGCTCTTCCGTGGTGCTCTGTGATAAGATCGTAAGGACTTCTTGGAGCACCTTAATCAACTTAAAATATATATATATATATATATATATATATATATATATATATATATATATATATATATATATATATATATATATATATATATATATATATATATATATATATATATATATATATCGAATCACATCTAATTTATAACCAAAAACAGAAAATTTTTGTCATTTTTATTACTAAACTTTAATCATTTCTTTTTTTTTTTTTTTTTTTTTTTTTAATTATTTTAATACTTTTTTTTTTTTTTCCTTTTAAATTTTGTTTCTTAACATTTTAAAATTGCCTTTTTTTAAATGCTTTTGCTTATATATTACAGATTATTATATATTACGAATATTTATTTGCGTTACTATTGGGGCTCGGTGATAAGGCTATTTTATGCCTTCTTCTTGCTCCAGCCAATTGTACTTTTTATATTGTTGTACTTTGTAAACATTTTTAACGGCAAAATGAACTAATAAACTAAACTAATAAACTAATATTTTATGTTTATCTACTGCTAATTCCATGGGTTATATGCAAGGCTGGCGCGATAGGGGGTGTGGGGGTGTGACACCCCCCATCAATGATTTTTAGTCAGCAAATTTGACTCTTAGTCGGCAAATTGGACCCTTTTAGACTAGTTAGTCGGCAAATGTCGACCCTTTCGATATAGGTTAGTCGGTAATCTAGACAGTCGGCAAATGTCGTCATGGCAGTCGGCAAATTTTGGAAAACGAGGACCTTTTCTTTCTTTTTTTATTTGGCAAAATGTAATGCCCCCCCCCCCCCATATGACACCTACTCGCGCCGGCCCTGGTTATATGAGATAATACAATAGCTGTTGTCATGCTATTTAAATTATGATAGTAACTTGGTGAAATTGCTAAATATGATACGTTTTTAGATGAGACGCGGCCACTGATCTCTATAATAACTGGATAGCGCATCTCCTAATAAAATTTCGAAATTTTTGAAGCCAAAAGACGCCATATTGGAAAGCCCCAGAATTTATAAATCCGTAGTTGCGTTAAACTTATATGCGCTTAAAACACAGATTTCGCTTGATAAATAAAAAATGCAAAAACCTTATAAATGCATTGATTATTAAAAACTGAGTAAATCTGATGTTATATGTTCAGATTATTTCATGGAGAATGACATAAATATATATATATATATATATATATATATATATATATATATATATATATATATATATATATATATATATATATATATATATATATATATATATATATATATATAAATTATGTATACAGGGTGGCCAGCCACTTTCAAGAATTAAATTCCCTGACTTTTTATTTTTTCCCTGACTCAGTTATATTTTGAAGTGTGAATTTTTAAGTTTTGTTGTTTGGGAGTAAGTAAATAAAAACCTTTAAAATAAATTAAATTTTCAAAAAAGACATTTTTCCCTGATTTTCCTGACCAGAAAAAAATTCCCTGACTTTTCCATGATTTCCAGTTAGCTGGCCACCCTGGTATAATATTATTATAATAGCATGCAAGTGTATATTAGTATGCACCTTTTGATTCTTAATTGCCCTCTGCAAAATGCCTGAGGCTTGTAACATATTTGCAAGGTAAACAGCTTGCTGTTTACCTTGCAAATATGTTTGCTGTATGAATCATTAGTTAGGCAATGTGGTTGTAACACAACCTAAAGGTTCCTTAGGCAACATATAGCAAATCTTTATATTTACTTTTAATAATTTTGTTCTTGCGTGTATATATATATATATATATATATATATATATATATATATATATATATATATATATATATATATATATATATATATATATATATATATATATATATATATATATAAATTAACTTAACGCTTAACTGTCGAAAAATACTTTCAAGACATTTTTGTAAATGCCATTAGACATTTTCACAACACCAGAACATTTGTATAAGATATTGCAATTACAAAAGAATATGTTAAAGTAAAAAAATATAAATAAAATAATAGTTAGCTCTACCATCTTGAACAAAATAATCATTGAATAACTTGTATAAGCATTGAATAACAAAATAAACATTGAATAAAAAGGTATTATGTGGTAGGGAAAAGTAAAAAAGTATGTACACTTAGAAAAAAAATTGTTCACCTTTCATTTTGGTCTTTTATGTTGCTTATTTGTTTTCACAAGAGATATTTTAAATATTTATTAATTATACAACTAATATTTATCAGTATAAAACTGATAGATGTTAGCTGAATCATTATTATTTTACTTTAGAGTCAATAGAAAAACTTGAAAGAAATCATGTCTGTTTTCATATACCATATTTACATATAAACAATCAACATGTATGTGATGCTGTTATTTAGTCTAAAACACTAAATACTTTAATGTAAAACTGCAAATAACTAGTTATCACCAAATATCCAGTGTTTTTTAAAGTTAGAGATGGCTTTTTCAAACCTTCACAAAGTGTAATTAAAGTTAGCAAAGCAACAGAACAAAACATTGTTATTAAGTGATATCAATTTTAATAAAGTATTGCATAGTTGATGATATTTCAGTTGTGGAACAATATAAACATGCCCTCAGAGTTTCAAAAATTAGAAAACCATTTACAAAAATGTTTGATACAATGTTTTTATCATGTTTTATACTTGTAAAGTTACTTTCCAGCTACTATTGCTAAGTAAGGTCGCATCAAGTTGTTAAAATAAACACCCAAAAGTAACCAGATCAAATATCAATTTGTCTTTTAGAAAAGTTTTATTTAGAATATCATGAATTCAATAAATTTAACAAGTTCATAGAAAGCAATACAAATTTTATTATTTCTTTATAGCGATATTTCTCTTCGTCGTTAATGTTCTGCGTGTTTTTGATTCCCTTTTATAATTTTTACACCTTCAAACATTTTAAATATAATAATATCATTGAAATATGTGACTTGGTTGAGTAGATATAAACGAAGTAAAAAGGTACATCTTCAAGCGCAATTACTGTATTTTCGGTATTCTGGGGCTTTCCAATATGGCGGCCGTACAAAATATTGGCTTCACTTTTGATATTAGAGATGCGCTATCCAGTAATTATAGAGATCAGTGGACGCGGCTTTTTATTAAGAAAAGCGCGCTTTTTTAAAGTTATTCTCCACGGAGCTTTATTTTGGTATTTCAAGAGCAAAAGTTTTTTTAAAAGACATGAAAAAAACACCAAAACCCCTTAGTAAATAAACTAAATCAACCCCTAAATAAATAAACTAAATCAAACTAAATCAATCAAGCAATATTGAAGAGAAGTCTGAGTAAGTGAGATGAAGAGCATATTTAAAAGTTGGAGTGAGTGGGATGGGAGATGAATGTACTTTATAAAAATTTTAGCAATATAAAAATATGTAAATGAAGTTTTAGAGAATTTTGACAATTATTTTTTCAATCATTTGCTGTAATTATTGAAAATTTCACGTATTAGAGTTGCGCCTTTCATTAAAAATAATTTTGTTGGCAATATAGTAAGAGGGGTTATTCAGTACGTGGGTAAAAAAATATATTGGTGCAATTTCTTGAATGGGAAAAAAAAAATTATTTTGTATTAATTAATGCTCTCCTAAGAAAAAAAGTTAGGAAAACTGTTTTGTTTGTTTAACTTGCGTACTGCGAACGTGACCCAAATCTTATAAATCTTACACTTAAGTAACGCAAAAAAAAAAAGTTCACTTTACCACTCAATGTTATACTAACATTATAAATTTTTAATACCTGTATTATTGAATATATATTACTGTTATATATTCACATAAATATCATTACCCATAAAAATATCAATACCTACTAAAGAATGCCGGCACTGTTTCAGTTGCCTACCCCTACCATTTTATGATTGATTTCGATAGAGAATATCATGCTGATTAAGAATATCATGCTGATTTAGTACAATTTTTTGAAACTTAACATTAAATTAGAGTGCTGTCCTCAAATTTCAGGTCTATGTTTTTATTTGATTCTTAATCAGCATGAAATTCTCTATCAAAATCAGTTATAAAATGATAGGGCTAGGCAGCTGAAACAGTGCCAGAATGCTTACCTTTTTTTTTCATGTAAAAATTTTTCCAGTTTTCCTGGCCAGAGAAGTCTGGAAGACTGTTTTTACTTAAATTTTAACTACTTGTACATAATAAATATTTTTGTCTTTATACTGATATGATTTTTAATTTTTTGTAGTACTTTTTTTTTTTTTTTGAATTTTTGGAGAGTTTTTTTTATTATTAGTTTTTTTATAGATTTTTTTGTTTATTCTATGTTTGTTTCTGTTTTTTTTAATTTTTTTATTTTTTACAAAGTCTTTTTGTTTTGTTTTATAAGGTCTCTGCTATGAATTAGTCTTGTACTATTTGCACTGTCCATTAACAAAAATGCACTGTCCATTCACAAAAATATTATTGTAATATTTAATGCACTATCCATTCACAAAAAAATTGTTGTAATATTTATACAATTAAAAATATATTGATTGATTGACTGATTTTGGTGTATGTGTGTGTGTGTGTTTTTAGGTATGAAAAAATATTTTTATTTAGTTTTCTGAGATCTTGATGAAGTTGATATTTGTTCAACATTGATTAAATACAAAAATTATATTTCTAGTTTCTATTTCTAGCTTCTATTAATTAAATATCATGTAGCTCGAGTAAAGATGTGTTTTAAAATCTTGTTATTGATTTTACTTGTATCAACTATTGTTAATGGGGATTCATTTTCAGAGGAGCTTTTTCTAAAGCAATTACCATCTGGTCATCTTTATTCTTTGTTTCAGTTTACTAACAGTTTGGAAGTTAATTTATTTGATAACAGACTTCGTAAGTTTAAGTTCTAAATATATTTATTGTATATAGTTATTCATATATATATATATATATATATATATATATATATATATATATATATATATATATATATATATATATATATATATATATATATATATATATATATATATATATATATATATGTATATATATATATATATATATATATATATAATATATATATATATATATATATATATATATATATATATATATATATATATATATACATATATATATATATATATATATATATATATATATATATATATATATATATATATATATATATATATATGTATATATATATATATATATATATATATATATATATATATATATATATATATGTATATGTTGTGTATATCAGATATTTTTAGTATTTGTCAAGTTTTATTTTTTTAATTCTCTTTTTTTAATATACTTTTAGCTGAACACTTTAATTTATTTCCAAAATCATTTGCTGAGATAATAGAAAAGTTTCATGTATTAGAGTTGCATCTATCGTTAACACAAGGTCGTTGGCAGTATAGTAAGTGGGGTTATCCAGTTATTTCTGCACCAACTGGCATAGAATTATGGGCTTGGTTTAATCCTGACCTAGATAGAGATAAGTATGTGAGAATTTTGTGTAAATTTATTGTTTATTACTGAAAAAAAAAAGTTTTTTTTTTATATATAGTAAAATTTAGGACACTAAATGAACATTAGCCTGTTTTAAATCTAATTCAAATTGTACATAATAAAAACTTTATATATATGGCATAACTAAATATAATATCCTGTATAAAAAAACTTTATGTATATAATATAACTAAATATGAAATATGCTATACAATAAAAACTTATAATCAAAAACATTTATAATAAACACAAATTAAAAAAAAAAAAATTAGTAAAAAAGCCAAAACAAAAAAATATTGTGTAAATATTGTGTATATCTGTATACTTAAGGTTCACACATTTCATAAACACAAAAAGAGGACATATTTAATTAATAAAAAACTGGTGGTTGAACCACAGCTTATCCCTTCTCAAAATTTGAGGATGGTTCATGCTCATCAAATAAACAAATACTATCTCTTACTTGAACAATAACAGTTATTGTGCTAAAAAAATTTTCTTTTAAAGAAACATCATTTATTTGAGAAAATCACTTGTATGAACAATAAATGTGAAAATCACTCGTATGAACAATAAGAAAAACCCCTGATTGTAGCCTGCTAATTAAAAAACCTCAAAAAAGTTTGTAGCACCTCTAAGCCTAAATGTGAGGCTTATAAATTAATAAAATATTATTATAAAATAATTTATTATAATAAAAATTTAGTATAATAATAAATATTATACTAAATTTTATTTCATAGTTTTAAATTTCTTTGTTACATTTAGTTGTATTCTTGGGATCCATATAGTTTTCTGTTTACAAAACACCTGTATGATAAAAATGGTAAAAAAGAAAAGAGTCTGAATGATACAAAATATCAAAAAATTACAAATTCAAAACTCAAACTGGTTGGTGAGCTATAAAAGATCAATGTTTATTAGGTTTTCCCAAAAAAAAAAAAAAAGCTCTCTACTGATTACCATTCTATGTGACCTAAATAAGTCCTAAAAAAAATTTGTTTTTATTTTGACATAAAGTGCTGGATGTAAAATCTGAGTTTTACTATTTTAATGTTAAGCTGGCTTAACATTAATAGAAAGCACAATTTTTTTACATTTTAGAAAATTAAAACAAAACAATTAGATGCATATAAATCTTTTCCAATTGTTTTCTACTATTTAACTTGATAGTTTATATTTATAAATATGAAAATACAAAAAGAAATACATGAAAACTAATATTTATTAGCAAATTTAAGATTTTATTGTGGTGAAACATTTCTCATAATACAACTTTTTGATCAGTTCCCAAGCTCCTTTTTAGTCATACTCTTAGTCAAGTTTTTTCTAGACTTTTTAACTACAAAAATTACATTTTGAAGGTGATCTTCATCTCTAGTAACTGAAATAAAATCTTTAATGAGCTTAATATTTCTTTCTGCACCATCATTTACAACAGATATGTTTTTGATCCATGCAATAAAATCTATCTACTGAGAATGGTTAAAAACATCTATAGTATTAAGACTATTATTGAGCCATTCTTTTATACTTGCTCTTAGTATTTTAAAATGTTTGAAGAGAAGGTAGCTCTGCTCGAAAATCAACTCATGTAGTTCTGTGGTCTCTCTAATTTGTACATTTGATGATTTAAAACGCTGAAGTTCATTTGGCTCTTCAAACTCAATCAGAGCTAACAGCATTCTTAGCTTTTTTTCAGAAGGAACTTCTTTATCCCTAAAGGATAAAACACAGAGTTGCGGAGTTAAGTACCATGTATGGTGTCCCATGCTGAGAGGCAAAGCATTTCCAATATTCTTACTGACTTTTCTCAATGCATAGGCTGTCTGGATAGCTTACAAATCATTGTAGGGAGCCAGAAATCCTAATCAACTTTTCAAAAACCATGGAACATAGCAAATTGCAATGAATAAACTTGCATCCTTCAACTGCAACACTTCTTTTTCTGTCAAGATATTACTGATATCTTTGGTCATATATAGAGTCAGGATGTAGATCGCATCTGCTAAAAACCTTGTCTCATGTCAGGCGCCAGGTTGATGGAATTTGAAATCTTGTACTTTTGCTCTAAGGCAGGAGACAAACTTACAAACTATACCATAATCATTTCTTGAAAACACCATATCAATAGTTGCATTAGTCAAAAATGTCTTAGCTTCCTCTGCAACAGTGCGAAGAACAGAGCTAATCTTCAGATCATCTCTTTGCCAGTCCAATTTATATAAATTTCACTTCATTAACTTTCTCACAGATTTAAGGCCACTTGTTCTTTAGCTTGACATAAAAAGTTCTTCTTGGACCTTTAGTTTCCTCACCAGTAAGAGCAGCCATATAGTGAGATACATGTACTTCATATATATGTCTTTTACACATTATCCACAACATTGGTAATTTCAAAATATCTGTAAGAATTTGGACTGCTCCATTGACTTTGCCTGTATTGCTTGCAGTTGTATCACAGCATATAATATTCTAAAAGATTGCGCACAAAAGATTCTGCTTGGTCAACTCCCTTTGAAGAGGGAGATTGAACAACACCTAAAAGATAATTTAGGTGTTGTTCAATCTCCTTCTTCTTCCTTGGTATCGTCATCAAAGGAATTCACTGAGACTGCAAGTTGCACAATTTTTTGAAGAATGTTAAGCCCAGTGGTAATTTGTTCCAACAGTTTGGTATCAAAATGAAGAATATGCCGTCAGCCTTTAAGATGATTAGTTATTGAAATCCACTCCAAGTCTCTTTCAAGTTCTACATATTTGAACTTTTTTCTATGATGTGTGCTTTGTAAAAGCGGTATATCATTAATTTCTATACCTCCAGCTTTAAATACTTTACTTAAAATTGTCAGATGAGGTTGTACACCAACATTGAACCTTGTTGCTGGAATAGCAGTTTAATGATTTTGATCTTTAAATTAAGTTTAATGATTTTGATCTTTATATTGTACCCAGAAATTACAAATTTCTTTAAAAACCCCGCATTATCTCAAATTTTTTTTAATCCTAGTTACCAAGCAAGTATTTTCAGGATCTGTACAAACACTTTTTTCGCAAACAAGATCCTTGGATTTCAATTTCAATTAGCAACCAACATTAGCAGAAGTGGGTATATACCTATAGAATGGGGATTAGTTAAGAGCACATTGAAATTTTTAAAAAAGTGTGTTTTTGAGACACCCTAATGTTGATAATTTCGTTATTTCTTAAAAACAATAAAAAATAAGTTTTTCTTAACCAATTGCATAGTTTTTTTTTGTTTAAATATGTAATATTTAAACAAACAAAAAAAAATGACCTAAAAGTCACAAATTCCGGATGGTTTTCCGGTACATCCCTAGTTTAAATGTTAAACATTTAAGCTAAAATTGGGGCTGATCTTCCAATGATGTCTTTTCACTTTAAGACAAAATGCAAAAACGCATTGTAAACTTAGTTAGACCTGCTCTTGCAGCCAACCTCCAACCATTATCACATTGTCGTAATGTTGCCTCTAGTTCTCTTTTCTATAAATACTATAATGGTTGCTGCTCTATAGAGCTAGCATCTCTTGTGCCATCTACTAAAATTCATTCTTGTGCTGCTTGTCATTCAATTAAGTCTTATCTTTTTACTGTGACTGTTTTTAAGTGCTCCAAAAATTCTTATTTGTCTAGTTTTTTTCCTCGAACATCAGTTCTTTGGAATTTGCTCCTTTCATTTTGTTTTCCTGATTTATATATTATGCAATCTTTTAAGTTGTCTGTTAATCATTATTGTGCTCTATAAATGTCATCTTTTCTCTTCCAATAATTTCCAACTCTAATAATGGTTGCTTGCAGCCTTGTTGGAAGTGAAGATATTGAAAAAAAAAGTACTTACTTTTTAGATAGGGAGGGATATAGAGAAAAGTTATATTGGATTTAAAAAAAAAAGTTGGTTAACAGTGATTGCTAACAAAAGAGACTTCCCTACACTTTTTGTCACTTTTGTAATTTTGATAATTATGTTTTTTATTGGTCTGTAGGTTGGTAGAACTGTAGATATTTTTGTTTAGTAAAATAAAATTGTAATAATAATATTAAAATCAATCATAGTATTTTTTAACATGAACATTGTTATTTCCCCTTTGTAATTGGTGTTTTTTTTTTTAACTAGATTTTACTACCTTAAACTATATCTGGTTATTTTATTGTGTAACTCTTGGCATAATGTAGACCACTTTTTTTTATGTGGGAGTTTAAAAAAAAAAAAATCCAAATTTTGTTTTACACTATGAAAAATATAATACTTGTATAAAAAAATCAACCAATAAGTAACGCTTATTTTAAAAACAAACTATATAAAAGATATATTAATTTAAACATAATCCTAAAGATTGTTTAATTGTAGTTAAAAACAAGTTGTATTATAAAATCTAAAAACCAGATATATTATTTTATTTTTAATTTTATTATGAATAATTTTTAAGATTTAAGGAAAAAATTATAAAAGTAATATGGTTTGCTGATTGTATATTAAAAAAAAAAAGTTTTACAATGATGTCCTGTACTTCAGTTCATAAAATGTACTCTTAAGAAATAACTGCGCTTGAATTAAATAATCTAGTTAATAAATTGCGGTGTGTATTATAATGACTTCAAGATGCAAAGTAAATGATGAGGTAAAAGATGGAGGTGAGCATCAAATAAAATGACAAGTTTAGTTTTGATTGATATACATTTATTATTTAGTTTTATTAATAAAAATTTAGTTAAAACATTTTTTTTTCTAACATTTTCTTTAATATGAACACAATTTGTGTTGGGAGTTGGTCTCTTTAGGTTTTTAACTTTCATTCCATGAAAAATACGATTTACTTTATAATTAAATAATAACTATAATTGAGATATTAAATAGGTGTTTAAACAAAACATTTAAAAGCACAAATAAGGTTTTATTTTCTTAACTTTAATTTTGAATAAAAAAATAAAACTTTAATTAGTCTGGCAGCAATATCTGTTTAGGTAAA